ATAAACAGCAGCCCAGGTTTCACACGGAAGCAGTATCCATACTGAGGTCAGGTTATTTTAAGATAGCAAAGGGTCCCTCACTCCTAAAGAGAGAAGTAATTCTGCCTACTTGAAGTAGGCTGTGGTGGTTCATTTTAATTGTCAGCTCAACACCCAGGAAGAGTGTCTCAATGAGGGACTGTCTATATTGGGTGGGCCCTTGAGCATGTCTGTAGGGGTGTGTCTTAATTACCCCAATTTTATGGGAAGATCTACCTACTGTGGGTGGCACCATTCTCTGGGTATAAAACTGGAGCCAGTGAGCTGAACGTAAGCATTCCAACACACAATGGACCGTGAACACGAGTAGCCACGTACAGCTCCTGCCTCCTTGATTTCCCCACAATGATGGATTGTGTCCCGGAACTGAGTTAGAAGGAACCATTCTCCCCTGAGTAGATCTGTTAAGTATTTTATCACAGCTCAGGACACAGCCCTACACTGCTCAGACCTACAGCTCTTCATCAAAATTTACACTCAGAGCATGTGTCTCTGGTGATTTCTAAATGTTTCCTGGGACAAAAGGCATGTTCCCAACCTAGGGTCACAGCACAGCTACCTTCAGAGGCCCAGAGGGTGAGAAAATATGGACACAAATGCATATGCATATATCACATGACCGGTACAGATTGAAAAGGCCCTGCCAAATGCCTACAGCCCTGCTGCCAGATCTTATTTTTTCAAAGGAAGTTGGGGATCAGATCTGCATTTGAAATGTTTGGATCACTAATTATTGACATAGATCTTTGCCCGTGGCCATGTCCTTATTACTATTATTATATTGTCATTTGTTGCGGGCCGCAGGAATATCATAAGAACTCAGCTGGTTATGGCAAAGTCACTACCTGGAGGGATCATGGAATTCCTCCAGAGGAAGCCAAATCCCAAGGAGTTTTTGGTGTTACTTGGCTTGTTATATATCAGCTGTCTTTATGAAAATCATGTGTGCCTTCATAGCTTTCCCAATT